CGCGGCACCTCCTTTCTAGCACCTTTGAGTAGACATTACCTGGGAGGCTGAATAGCGTAATGCACCGATAATTGGAGCTACCCCTAGGCCACCCCTCCTAAATAGGGATACAACAACTCCCATTCTCCAGTCCGCTGGTGTTTTCCCTGAAATCACCGCAGTTTCGGAGAAACGAGTAAGCTAGTACACGCATTGTTCGCTTAATGCCTTGAGCGTTTCAGTGCGGATCTCTTCAATCCCATCAGTCTTTCCAAATTTCAAACTTCTTCAATTTCATCTACAGAGATGATAACATTCGTTCCCTGCTGCTCTAAAGGCGCGCGTTCAAGCGATTGTTCGGTGTTAAGGAGTTCCTCACAGTACTCTTTCCATCGATAAAGAATATCCTCATTTATGGCAAGAGGGTGTCCAGGGCTGTCCTTCAAGACTCTTAGAATGCCCTTCTTTTCAATTCTAAGCGGCAAATAATCTGGCAGAATACCATGTTCCCAGTGTGGAAATTCGACTCCAACGCCTCACCGAACTTCTTCCTAGAATCAGCTTTTGCTTCCACTACTGCCATCGCTGCCGCCTTGCGTGGCTCGACTATCGCACGAGAGCAGAAGGATCTTTGTTTCCAAGCCATTTCTTGAATGCTGCCTTCTTCTCTTTAACTGCCGGATGTATCAGTCTGTCCGCCACGAACATCTTTTTTGACCTCAAGGCGACAGACCAACCTGTTTAAATCTGCAGCATCCGGCGGCAACTTCGAGTATTGCACTCTTAAAGAGCTGCCGCTTGGTTTTTACATGTGTTCATCAACGGGATCTGCTTAAACTGCCGTGCGATGTTGTGTGAAAATTTCGCTCTCGCATCTACCGAAGATAATGTTTTCCACTTGATTCTCTGGTTGCTTCCCGGTACCAGGTATACCGATGCACTCTTCGGTGCTCGAAGAAGGCATTCATAATGAACAGTTAGTTGCTTGCACAAAACCGCAACAACTTCATGCCGCTATTTTTGAGGTCGCTAGGCTCGTTTAATTCAACCACGCCGTTCCACTTTTCAGCGTCTCCTCGGACATGCGCATTACAATCGCTAATGAGTAGGAGGGTCTATGTATACGGTGCTTCGTAAATAGCTTCTATCCGCAAAGTTTCAGAAGCCCAGAGCCTTGGCGTTTCGTTGTCGAGAGTCCAACAATGTCGAGTTGCTACTTTATGGCCTCATCAACTAACTCTTGTTCTTTCTTTTTGAGTGACGATATGTTCCAGTTACTGACATTAGGCTCCCATGGGTGGTGTCGTTCTCGTGGACCATTTTCTGACGTGCTATAATGACATCGCGCTGTCTT